CCCTAACGTTATTTGTTGGTTAGTTTAGTACGTAGTTGGGAGTGCGAATTATAGTAAACTACCGTTACGTTTTCTAGTTTGGTTTTTTTTTTGTTAGGTGGCAAATACTTCTACATATTCGTTTTTTTTTTTTGAAGAAATGAAATAGAGCCTATTAGGGCTGGTTTGGTTTCCTAAGTTTTTTTTTTTTTTTTTTTTTTGGTATTAGTGGTTATAATTTCCTTGTAAAATTACAGAGAAAATGACAAATGCTCTCTTAATTTTGAATAGGCTTATTGTAGCCCCTTAAATATATTCTTGAACAATTTTGATTCTTAAAAATTGCCAAAAGTGAGCATGTTTGTCCTCCGTCAATTCCAGTAATAATCCTGGCATATATAAAATTTTATCCAATCTACCTTCTCTTGACCAGCAAGGTATAGCTTGTCAAATTTCTCAACAACAAAATACTGCAGTTCCTCACTTTGCAACCCACTTTATGGCTAAATTGGCCACATTAGTTAGAGGAAATGGTACAAAGTAACTGGTTACAATTTAAATAAAAGAAAATAACACTGTAAAAATATCCTGTTTTTATATCATCCATCTTCTACGTCTTAACATAAGGATCTCATGTGATGGCCACCATATGAATGCATCGACGCATCACTTAGCCCCATCATGGATGCCCTGTTAAAATGCGTCGGCCTTCGCGCAAAAACCAAGAGCCTTGTCAGACCTTGATATTATTTCAAGAATCAAGAGAATACTAGGCATCAACATTGGCAAATCAAAAAAATTTCATGAATGCATTTCAGATCATGCTTAATGGCTCAATTGTCCAAGTAATACAAACTGATTTCATGGCAGGCCCATTAGTCATATCCATAGTAGAATCTCCACTGCCTGTTGCCTAATGAGAAGAAATGCTGCTAATGTTTACTGCATCATTGTAGTTTCTCTGCTTTGCACTCTTTTACTCTTGCCCTTATCCTGTCCGCTTTGACCAATCGCGAACAGTCATTTGATAAAAAAGCTTCCAATGAACTTCCACCCTATAATGTTGCATGTATCCTATAATCATTGCCGTTTGTTCACCAATCTTTTCACATGGCATTTCATCCAATAAATCCCTTGTTCCTTGTGCTATCCGGATCAGTAGTTGGACGTGCAGAAACAAAGACATATGCAGACTTTTCCATAAATAGTCTAGCCTGGCATCACAAGTTTATAATAGAGAGAAGTTGACAGTGTGTGCTCTCCTCATATTTCCAATAGGAGCTTGTGAGGGCATAACAATTAGAATCATAACAAACAACATAGAGTGCCGATGCTTATGTCACACCATCCAGCTACTATAACCATCGCTCAAGAATCAAAGGCTTCTGCAGCCAATTTGTTTCTAAGACTGTATATTTAATTGCTGGATGTCATTGTAAACGGTTCTTGAAATCAGACCTCTTTGCACCGCATTACTCCAAAACATATCTAAAAGGCTATTCTCATCAGAGTAAGAAGCATTAAAACTTTTGTAGATTTTGAGAGTTATCATTAGCCTTCTTCTGTACATCTCGTCTAACAAATATGAAGCAGCGTCAAGCTTCCCCACTTTAAAGTAAGCATATGCAAGAGTAGCATATACTAGACTATCCCCAAGAACTCCCTTTATTTGCATAATGTGGAAAACTTTTTCAGCACTATCAATTCTACCTCTCTTGCACAATCTCCTTACTATTGCCCTATAAAAGGATATGTCAACAAGATAACCTCTTCTTATAAACTCATCTATCAATGAGAGAACTGCTATATCATTATTCTGGTGGCAGTAAACATCCACAAGCCACGAATATGAGTAATAACTGGGAGAAAGTCCAACACTAACCATGTTGAATAAGATTTCTTTGGCCCCATCTATATCCTTTGCCTTGCAAAATCCATTAATCATAGCATTGTAAGTGAAGCGGTCAGGTTTTAGACCAGCTTCCAGCATCTTATTTTTCACTTTCAGAGCAGATCTCATGTCCCCGATCTTGCAGTAACCATTAATCAAAGTGTTGCATGTCACATTATCAGGTACAACTTTCTTCTCGTTCATCTCGTTTAATAGTATATTTGCATCCTTCATCTGACCTTCTTCACACAATTTCCGTAGAATTGAGTTGTAAGTGACAACCCCTGGATACAAACCCTTTGCCTCCATTGCATCTCTCAATCTCAAAGCTTCAGTAACACTGTTGGCTCTGCAATAGCCATCTATCAATGTAGTGTAAGTAACCAGGTTAGCGGTTGCGTCTTTAATTTCCTTGAAAAGCCTCATAGCCTCCCTCATCCTCCCTTCCCTACAGTAACTGTAAATTAAGGAATTATAGGTTACAATATCAGGACATACTCCTGCTCTTTCCATCCTATCCTGCACGCACAAAGCTTCATAATGCATGCCTTTCCTGCAGTACAATGATATCAATGTGTTATATGTGTAAAGGTCAGGAAGTGTAGCTTTAAACTCCATTTCTCTCAACAAATCTTCAGCCCGCTCTACATCACCAGACTTACAACAGGCATGCATAAGCACGTTGTAGATATATATATTTGGAACCACCCCCATTTTTTGCATCTTTTTGTAAGTTTTCCATAAAGTATCAGTCAACCCATCCTTGACCAATGAATTCAGAAGGGTAGTACAAGCATGTGTATGGAGCATAAGCTTACAAACCCTCATATGCTCAAAAACTTGAATTGCATCATGAGGTAGCTTTGAATTAGCATAGAAAATAACCAACCAACTTAAAAGATGCGAGTTCACATCCTTGTCCTGATTGGAGCTCACAAGGGCATTCAGAACTGTCGGCGATGATAAAAAGTCTTTACGCGCCACCTTCTGAAGCATATCTTGTGCAGTTTTGAAGTGTTTTTGTTTGGTGAGTATGTAAATCATAGTCCAAGAAGATTGCAAAGAATGCTTGTAATTGGGAACTGATTCAGCCCACTTAAAGAATGACCATGAACGGGAGAAACAATATTGTGATATATCAAGAAGGGCTTGACTAATAATGGTGGAAGTCACAAATGAACCGATTTTAGGCTTCAAAAGATTGTCCCAGTTTCCCTTGAGGACAGCTGCAGCAACAGCTTTGACCATTTCACTTTCAACATTTGCACAAAACAGGTTGGCCATGGATAAGAAAGATAAGCCACCCAAAGTTCAACACCCACTGATTTCCAAGGTTTCTAGCAGTTTTTGCTCAAATCATTATGCGATTCAAAGATGCAGAAAAAATAATTGAGTACCGATTCTCGACATATCAGTCATCAGACTCGTCGATGTTTGCTGCAAAAGTAATATAATGACCAAAGAGAGAAGATAATTTCAGAGTAAGAACTCAGATATAGTAAACAAAAAGTTATCGGTAACTACCAAAAAGAAAGACATAAACAGAAAAACAAGCATTGTCACGATATAATGAATCAAAGCCTGCATCTAAAAGGTCAACGACCTATGCCAACCCATTGAACAAAAATGGCTTTTTGGTACAAAGAAACGGCCTATGCTATAAGTATAGATATGTTCATATAGCTCCTACCACCTATTTCTGTCCTCCTATAACTGGTTGGTTACACTGTTAAGTTTCCATGGCAACAAACTACTGGAAGTCGATTGGCGCTTGATTTATATCAATTTTCCTCCAAAGCAACTTCCGCATATAGATGTCTAGCCAGCAATTGGTTCACCAACCGATTCTTCAGACACAAAACAAATACCTTATACCTAATCCAACAATATGCTTATACACGCACACACACACATATCTTTGTTTTCTTCTTCTCTATTTTATTATCCAAAAGTAAATGGCTGAAAAGTTCTTCCAGCAGTTAAAAGTGACCCTTATTTTAGGTCCTACACTACAGTTTCTAACTATTAACTTATAGAATTTCTATTCATCTGGAGCCCTAAAATTCTGCTAGCTGTTCTGGACCAATGTCCTTAGGAATTGGACATGTGAAAGATAGAGAGAGACGTAGAGAGAGAGAGAGAGAGAGAGAGAGAGAGAGAGAGAGAGAGAGAGAGAGAGCGCGCACACACACACACACACACACACACACACACACACACACACATATATATATATATATATATATATATNTATATATATATATATATGACTGCAAAATTAAACTTAGGAAAATCATAAAGTACCAATAAAGATTGAATTTTGAGGCTCTGTTTTATAAACTAAGAACTAGGGAGTAGATACACAAATCACTGTAACACAAATTCAAGAATTCGGATTCTACCATTACAGCCAATTGGAGATAGGAATTAGGGTTTTTTGTCATGATAAAGCTAAGAAAGCAGAAAATGTAGAGAGAGAAAGTTACCCGCAATTTGATTTCGCCGGAGAAAAGAGAGAGCGATGAATCTTTCGAAATCATTCGGACTTCGAGTATCACTTTTGGTTGCTGTAGTCACACTCCCACGAGTAGTTGATAGCTAAGTAATTTTTTTTATAAGGTACATGACTAATAATTTTAAAATAAATAAATAATTAATAACTAAATTTAGCTTATTATCCCCTCCGATTCACAATAACACTCTGTTTGGATCATTGTTCCCTATCGTTTTATAATGTATTGTATCGTATCGTATTGTATTGTATTGTATCGCATCATTTTATGAATACAATGTTTGGATAGATTGTATTGTTTGTTATTGTTAAATAATATTTTGTTGTTTGGTTTGGTTGTATCGTACCGTACTGTAACTGATAAGTTTATTAAAATATCCTTAATTATTTAAATATTAAATTTATCAAAAAGTATGTATAAAAATAATATGAAAAAATAAAACAGAAGAAGGCAAAACACCTTAAGAAAGTAGAACAAAGGAGCGAGAGAGAAGAAGGCAAAACAAAGGAGCACAACTAATTAGAATTGAGTTAAAAGCAAATTAGGAGAAAAAATAAAACAGAAGACGGCAAACACCTTTAGCATTGGTCTGGAGAAGACA